AGACTTGAGGGTAAATCAGAGGAAAAGATGAATTTGAGCAGGGAGGAGAGGTGAGACACAAAACTGCTCATATCATAAGCCAGGAGTTGCTCCAAGGTGTCACATACATGTCATCTTCTTCAGTGTACAATAAGGAAAAATTATTAACATAGATGAGACTTGTCAGGTCTCCAAATCAGAAGATGGAAAGCAAATTGCAACCTCTTCACCAAAAAGAAAACATGAAGCAACTATAGTAATGTTTATAGAATCTAGTGTATTATTTTGAGTAGCACAAGCCCCAGGAAGTTTTATAATATTGATTATAGACCAAGATGAAATAGCCTGAAATATATCATCATTTGTGAGGGAGCATTTCTTCACTCATCAGCCACATATTCACCAGGTTTCTGTCATGTGCTGGGCACTGTTCTGGGGGCTGGAACTGTAAGTAACAGAAGGATAGGGAGTAGTCTCTGCATGGAGGACCTTTGTTGCTAAAGTAAGAGCCCAGGCAGACACACTAGAGAACTGGAGGGAGCAGCTGCCAAGTTGGCTAAGAACATCAATATGGGGAGTTCAGAAAAAGTGAGTCTCAGGCAGATGGGGAGGGTCAGCCAAGGAACAGCCACCAGAAGCAGGCTTCAGAGGAGGGGCAGCACAGAGAGAAGTGGAGGAGAAGTGGAAGGGCCTCCAGTTCTCCCACACCACCTCCTCCCAACTGTGAATCTCTTAACTCAGGGGCTAGTGTCTTTTTGTATTGAAAGTGGCTAGCTGAGTGTCCGTACATGGAGGCACTCAGTAAGTTTTTGTTAAACTCTGACTGGATGATAAATGAGGGGAAAGTGGAAAACTGCATGACCATTTCTCAGAGAACCATTAACACTAAACGCCAGTATCTACTGAGCATTTTGCTATATGCCGAGGGCTCCATAGGCTTTGCTTTGTTGCGTGCTCACGACAGCTTTTTGAGATATGAAGCTTTAGCACCTTCATTTGACAAAGGAAGTCACTGGTTCATGAGATAAGCAGGCAGAAACAAAGGGCAAAGATACAGATATATTTTGAGATGTTAGGAAGAGATACTGAGACGTTTCAGGAAAGCAAAGACTCCAGAGCACTCAGTCTTCGACTCAGAGTGGGATTCGGGTTGCTCACAGGATTGAAAATGGCAGCCATGATGTAGTCAGCAGTAATGTAATGGCTATATGTAGAGCCAGATAGGTGATAGAATAATCAAGGGAATCGTTTCATAAACTATATAAATGTCTAACCAATGTACTGTATATTTGAAACTAATAATAAAATAAAATAAAGTGCTTAAAAAAACAGCAGCCATGAGGATTGGGTCAAGAGTAGCTAACCAGAGAGAGAGAGAGAGTGTGTGTGTGTGTGTGTGTGTGTGTGTGTGTGTGTGTGTATACCTGAGTATGTGTCAAAGGAACACTAGTATACTTAAAAAGAGGAGCTGAGAGGAGTAAAAAAAAAGAAAAAAAAGAAAGGAGATGAGGGTAAGTAGATGAAGAGAGCTGTGAAAGGGTCTAAGGCTGGGTATGTCCGAAGAGAGAGGCATCAGGACTTTAAGGCACGAATACAAAATTTTATGCCTGATCGCAATATCCTCCTTTTAAAAAGTGCCATATATTAGATGGCAAGAAGTTGTTGTTAACTTTTGTAAGTGTGAGAGTGGTGCGAAGGTTATATGTGTATATATATATATATATATGTGTATATATATGTATACACATATGTGTATATATATACAATTTTTGTGTATACATATACATATGTGTATACATATATGTGTGTATATATTAAAAAATTGTACATATATACACATATGTGTATACATATGTATACACATATGTATACACATATATACACACATATATACACATATATATAAAGTCCTCATTTAGAGATGGTCACTGAAGTAAAATGACATGTCTGTAGGATAGTATGAGCTTGAGAAAAAAGTAAAAATTTGGAGCAATACGATATGTCATAAAATCTCTAAAGAAGGAGACCTGGCCATAAACCAACCAAGGGGATATGAAAGAGTGGTAGAATTCTTTAGTCATCTTATTTCCTTTTTAGGACATTAAATGGAGCAATGGCAGTGTCCATAGAAGAAAAATTAATTTCAAGAATAAAACATTCTATACATTAAAGATATCTTCTACATACGTTAATTTTATGCAGGAAAAAACATCAGGGTCAATTACATAGCAGATGGAGGTATTTAAACAAGGTACACAGGTGATTTCAAGGTGTATTTAAGTAGTGCAAAAATCTGCAAGCCTTCCCACCCCTTTGTCTCCCTACACTGAAAAAATTTTTCTTAGCTATCGGTAACCTTTAATTATGTAACAGAATTGCAAATGTTTATTAGAAATGTGTCTCAGAACTTTTAAATTAAAAGTATAGATCAAGCATGGCACCAAAGACAAACCCCATCTAGCCTAATAGGGCATTTGACTAACACAAGGGCTGAAATTAGAAATTAGAAATGTAGAAATGCACTAAATAATGAACCTCGATTATTGTCTGAATGATTCTTCTCACATTAGATCCCAATTACCCATTCCCAAGTGAACTCTGGAGAACTTAACCATAAGAAGACGCTTCAGGTTCAGTTTTTATATGTATACCAAACAAAGCTATCAGGAAATCCTCCCCAGAAACTGAGAATGATTTCCTTATGGCTTGGTAGATACTGCCAAGATTCCCTTTAAGGTTTACTTAGATAGCACCCGAGTAAGATTCCCATATGGAATTACTCCTCATACAGGAGCCTGACCTGGGGGGAAGCTGAACAAAGCAGAGATTATTTACAAACTCCCAAAGCAGGGGCTGTTTTATATTTCTCCCACCCTGGATCTAATTCCATAGGTAAATACAGCACATATTAAGTTATAAAGCATAATTATGAAAAGGCCAAGAAGTGCTACAGAGGATCAACCCTCCTGACACTGTGAGGCAGAGGCCAGGGGCCGGGCATGTCTGGACGAGCTGCCTGTGTTGCTGGCATCTGGGATTTACCACCACCACCACCAAGGCAGCCAGAGACAGCCTGATCTCAACAGGCTCATGTCGTCACTTAAATACATCTTATAGGAATCATCTGTGTTCTTCTGAGGGGCAGCTTTCCTGTCCGATAACTTTGGGGAAGTGTTCCTTTAATGACAATGTGGTATTTACAACAGCCCCATAAGCTCTACCCACAGGGTACCCACAAAACCAGGCCCTTAAATAATATAGGCAATACTGGCATGTATCAGTTCTTAGTAAACTAGGCTTTGGTTGGTTTTGTTCCAAAGAGGAGGAAAAGAATTCCATGCAACAAAATAGAATATTCAAAGACTATCATGAAAAAGTAATACTTTTGGCTATCTTGAAAATGTTGGTTGAAAAAAATTGTATAGTTTTTAATTACCAATTAAGCCACTTGTATTTTGTTAATTGAGAAAGCCTCAACATTTTTTCAAATATCATTGGGATCCTGTTAGAATAATTTGCCTATAGTTTAATGTCCAATAAAGCCCCCTTGGTTTTGTTAATA